TTCTTAGCTGTGAATACTCAAGGAGTTTTATGTCAGAAAGGACATTATGATACGGGTCTGCCAGCCACTGATAGACACTCTCCTAACATTTAACGGTGCTCCCTGGTCATTGTCACCAGTCAGTTAAGCGCAGAGTCCGGCTGGTAAGACAGGTCAGACAAGGGAGGATGCTTACAGGCTGCCAACAGGCTCAGCTCCCTGAATACTGCACAGTATAGCCAGAATAAGTGAGAAGATGGAGGAGGGCACAATATATCATCTCCACACCTCACTGGAGCTGGAGCCTGCTATGTATTAGTGCTCCTGTTAAGTTAAATCATACCTATCATTGTGCAGCTCATCTAAGAGGCAAAAGAAAGCAAGCAGATTGAGCACTTATCAAACATATTTATTTCTGTGTGCATTGTGAGATTTATTGTATTTAAATTAGTGTTTAGTATTACCATATATTTTGATTATCCTCACCCACAGATGATTTTACATTGTTCTTGCTTGTGCAAATTGTTTTAAATCTCAGATGGGATGCAGTTCAGAGTATGTTGAGTCAGCCCTCGGACCGCCCGCTGCCAGGATTAATCAGCTCTGTCGCTGTTGTTGATGATTCCTTCCCCCACCACAGCAGTCCTCCTCTGTCTGTCTTGCCTGTCCCTTCATCTTCTTTTCTTGTGTCATCCCACTTGCCTGTGAATTGGCATAAAAAGGGTCAGATTCTTACATTTTTACGCCCGTCATTTCCATTTCTAATCCTCCAAGGCTCTGTCTTGGCTCACACCAGTGATGCAGAACTCTGAGCACCCACCCACTGAACAGTGTGCCGCAGTCACAGCCAAAATAATGCTGCCAGGCTTTTTGTTAAGGAGAGTTAGTACAGGTGAATATGGTAGGATGGTGTCTATTTTTCCTATTTGAAAAATAAAACATACATAGTTTTAAATGCACATGGTGAAAGAAACCTTTTTTTTGTCAATGCTGAATTTCCAATAGATTCTGCTTCTGTTTATAGCTCTTAAATAAGCCATTGACTGATTGTGAGGTAGTAATTAAAAAACAAGCAAAACAAAATGTTCTTTTTTGTCCTTTCCTTGTCCAGTCATGGTGACTGAAGATAGAAAAGCTGTGGCAAGCTTTGAAATTTCAAAATGTCATTTGGTAGCTAGGTTTCAGATCAAATCCAAATCATGAAAGAAATGAAATAAAATGATGTGCCGTACTCTTAAAACATTAATTCTGAAAACAAAAATGGCAATTTAGCTATGGAAGTTTTAGACAGTACACATTGAGCACTTTTATTTATATATATATATATATATATATATTTATAATGACAGACCCAAGAGCTTAACAAATATGTATTTTTAGTTTAGTCAATTAAAACGAAAATATCAAGAGAATTAAATCTGGATTTTATTACTTTTATATATAACTCTAGTAAAAATATGTTGATTATGTATGTATGATTCTTTAGTGTTTTATTCAAAATTATTTGCAGAGGGGTTGCAGATGAAAATAACAGTTGTCTCCAAAATAAAATTTTGATATGAATAGAAACTGCAGCATGTATCAAATCAAATTCTTCCGCACAGAAAGCAAGATTGACCAATGATGACTGAATTAGCTCCTTCAAGCACAACTCCCTCATCAGTTCCAACAATAACTCCCTGCAAAAAATATCATGTGTGAGCGGTATGAGACTGGCCAGATGAGCTTTTTGATTGACAAGCCTGAGCTTTAATGGCAGCCTGATGTCAGCTGCTCCTTTCAGCTGTGCTTAAAATGTGATAAGATATTTATAGACCAATTATACCTACTACCACCCACACACATCCATACACACACTCCTGTGCACACACACACACAACAGTTCAGAAGCTAACAGAGTGGATGCAGATTGGCGCACTTTAACTGCGGGGTATTACTTGCTGTTAGACAACTGTTATTATGTTCTCAAAGTAGATCTAAGAAGCAAAGTTTGGACCAAATAATGATATTAATGAACTCGAACTTTGTGCAAGCAAGTAATTTTTTTGTAGTACTCTTATCCTGAATCCCACAGAGGCAATTAGAGTCCATTCAAATCGGCATGAGACAAGAATCTAGACACGGGTCTAGACACTTGAATCATGCAGCAGAATTATATAGAAACTGAGTTTCTCGATCTCAAATGTTCAGAAGAAACCTTGGGTTTATTGCTGAAAGCCAACTCCCAATAATAAGTAGAGTTGTAAGTACAGACAGAACATTAGGTCCGAGCTTATCACATTGATTGAAGTACTTAAATTCAGGTGTTGAACAGTATAACATATCAGCGTAATCAAACCACACAATTCAAGATGATTCATTTAGTTTATCCATACAATGCCAGTACAATATTTTGAATTGACATAATTTTATAAAGAAGAAAACACAGGAAGTTAGACAAGACAAGAAAAGACAAGATAGTCCTAAATTTAACCTTTCCTTGTTTAGCTGTTTGACAAAGAAAAAGTGAACAACTATGACTCATCTTTTATCTCAAATGTTTGAGTTAAGTGTCAAGTTAAACCAGCTACTCTTTAATCCCAATACTAACCTTAATAATAGCATATTATGTTATATTATAGCATATTATATGATTATTATTGTATTATAACAAATATAACACATTGTAGAGGAAAAAGGGATTGGGTGAATTTGAAAAATCTGTTGAAGAAAGCTGTCTGCCTCCTGCAGACAAAAAGACACATTTAAGTGATGGAGAGACAAGCGAGAGCAAGGAGAAGCAGTCTATAAAGATGTGGAATAAGTAATAGAAATATTGGAGAATATTTGTAACCGCTAAAGATATTAGCTATTCAATGTCCTCTCTCTCCAGCCCTCCACTCTTTTCACTCTCTTTTGTCTCTTGCAATTTCCTCTTTGTGAAGAAATCCAGCCATTTTCCCTCTCTCCTGTTGTCTGGATGGATGTTGCTAACACTGCAGACTTGTCAGTCATTCATCTCTTGGGGAGGCGGGCTCATTGCCTCAGTTGGGGGAAGTGACTGAGCTGAATAGTTGATTGGCAGAATCGAGAGGGAGAGGAGACAGTGGGGTGGAATACTTAGAAAGTGGAGCAGATGAGCGCAGAGGAGAGAAGGATATGGAGCGTAAACAGTCTCTTTAAGAGATACAAACAAAGGAGGCCAGCATGAGAGAGAGAGACTGTACATACACTGATGCTTTCTTGAATTTGCTATGATGAGAAAAATAGGACATCACTTTACAAAGAAGGGTAACACCTGAATGCAGAGATAAGCCTGGGCAGTTGAATACAGTATAACAGTGATTGTTTTTCTCTCTCTCTCTCTTTCTTGAAAAAAATCCTTGTAGGAGTGTGGATGAACAGGCTTGATATGATTTAAAATACTGGCTGGTGGCATGATATGAGCACACCATCCACCGCCAAAGGACTGGTTGAACAGATGTGATTGAAAAAAGAGAATGCTTTAAAAATACCTGCTTGGAGGTGGATGCATATAAGCAATTAAGTGGTGAAACAGCTAGACTGTAAAGGCAAATGTAGCAGTGGTGAGTTGTGACGTTTGGCTTGAAATTGTAGTCTGGAAGAGGATGGTCAAGAGGATGTGTTACATGACGCCTACTTTACAGTTTCCGAATTTAGGAGAACATTTGTGTCATATGTGTAGGCTGAGGCTTCGTCAAAAATTGGCAGAGATCATCAAATGTCGTCTGCTACCTGAACACAGCCACAGTTCTTAAATTATTTAGGTATGAATTTGTGCATGAATCACTGTAGAGGACATTGAAGTTTACCAAATCCAGAAGGTTATTCTTTCTTAGTCTTTATTTTTACAGGCTGGTAAAAACAACTGGGAAAGTGTTAAATAGGGTATGGAGAGAGAATCAGTCATGTACTGTTGATTCTGTACAGCATTGAAAATGCTGAAAACTGTGCACATCTGGACAGTGCATAGGGCGTCCTCAACAGGTACAGAGTGTCCAGCTCATGAAGGAAGTCAATGTTATGGGAACCAACTCTGTGACCTTCTAGTTAGAAGGACATCTCTACCTTCTAGGCATCACTGCTTTCAGGGATATTGATTTATTACAAGCCAGTAAAATTTCAAGAACACTAATGTGTTGGTCAAAGATTGGTGTCATGAGGGCTGGTCATGAAACTTTAATCAAACAAATTTGGCTTATCTCATTGGGGAGGCAAATGAAGCAAAAAGTGGAATGATGTGATCAAGGAGCAAGCCAAATTTCAGGACATCATGTCTATAATTTGCAGAAGATGGGTTGCAGGAGTTCTCCAGTGCCTTGGCAATGATTGGGGTGTTGATGGGCATAGAGAGGTGGATCAGCTGTTTGGTTGGGATTATAAGGCAGGTGTTGCAGGGATAGCTCTGAGAGCAGGTTGTACAGATGGAGAGGACTGTGCATAATGACACAAGGCTGATTGAAGTTATTGCCAAAACGTCTGATTGGCCCCGGTAATGTGTTTGTCCCAGTAAGGCTAGAAATGGTTGTCAGGTAGAAAGATTGGAGGGAGAGGTAGAAGTGAAGTGCATGAAACTGCTTGATGAGATTGTGTGGAAACAGTGAAGCCTAGGAAGCCATAGGCAGAGATGGTTGGTGGTTAAAAAAGCCTACAGTGTAAATACACACATTATATTCAATGAGTCCCAACCTGCAAGTGAGTGTTAGAGCCCTGATCAGAATTGGACTTTTACCGTAGAGATGTCAAAGCGGCATCCAGCGGAAACCTGTGATGTAGGCAGACTTTTTTGCTCATTAAATGACTTGTGTAAGGCCTTTTTCAGTGCAGAATTACCATTCTCAGGAATGATTGTGTGCATAATGCCCAAGAGTCATGACGAAGATATAACCAGTATAAGTTTATGTTTGTGAAGCAGGGCTTAACTGAAATGTTGAACACAGGAGTATCACATTGGTGTGTGGCCATCACACCTTGCAAGATAAATGTGCTGCATCTGTGACAGTATGCAACTCTCTCCAAAGGTGCCAAAGAGGTGAATGCAAGCGGGAAGACATTTACAGTACGGAGCTCTCTGCAGCTGCACGTGGACAGAAATGATGATGGAGTGGCCTACACCTGCAAAGTGGACCATGTGGCACTCACACAGACACCACAGCAGGCCACTGAAGTACTGGAGGTCCACTGTGAGTGTACACACACAGACATCCACACACTCAAACACACACACGTACTCTACATGTAGACATGAGAGAAAAAGAAAAATACATGAAAGAGAAAGTTACAAGATTGCATTTGTAAAGAGTGGTTTTATGGCTGTAGAATCATATTTGCTGGCATTCAACCTTTTAATTTTATTTTAGAGTTGAAGATTCTTTCCATTCTTTACATATTTACATGGCATTTACAGTGCATGTCCTTTTATCACACAATACCAAACTGGCTTAGGCAAAAATTTTATAATTTATCATCCATGAAAATCTCCATAAACGCACACCATACATTTTTGTTTCATGCCTTTTTAAGATTTGATTTTGAATATTTTACTAAGCCTTCTCTGTCTGTCCTAGATGCTCCTCGTGTGGAGATCGTCCACTCCCTTGCAGTCCCTCAGGAGGGTCAGTACCTAAAGTTGGAGTGTATTTCCAGAGGAAACCCCCCGTAAGTCTCCCAAATTATGTATTAGTGGATGTCAGCCTTTTATACAATGCTTCAGACAGTTACATGTAGCACGCCTCGTTTCTCTTTCACATCCTCTAACCTCAAGGCCGGATCCTGTGATGTGGACAAAGGACGGGGGTGAACTTCCTGACCTGGACCGGATGATCGTAGAGGGGAGGGAGCTCACCTTTACTTCACTCAACAAGACAGACAATGGCACCTACCGCTGCGAAGCTAGCAACCACCTAGGGACCAGCAGTGCTGAATATGTACTCTATGTCTATGGTGAGTCCAGGGAAAAGGCTGACATGTGGGTAATCATGTTTCTTGTGATCGCGTCCAAAGGTAAAGGAACAGAGAGAAATTGACAGATGGAGGACATGTAAAAGAAAAAAATGAGGATACCTTGGACACCAGTTATGTTAGATATAAATAGTGGAGTGTATGAACCTCACAGGCACCAAACTCCACTGCAAAAACCAGGATTATAATACCTCCTGATCTGCATACTGTATCAGTGCTAAGAGTGATTAGTGGTACCATCTCTCACAGGGAGTATAAGGGCCTCAGGTGACACAAATGCCACCAACGCCTTTCCTTAAATAAACCTTCGTCCCAGATCCTCCACACCAACACACACACACACACACACACGCGCACACAAAGACACACACACACACACACAAGGAGGGAAATGTGTGAGGGAGGCAGAATTTAGTGCTGCGTTGTCAGGAATATCACCAGGAAGGATAAGTAATTCCTAGTAACGCCAGAGGTGGTGGAGGATAAAGGGAGTCTGTGTGAGGGAAAACAGATAGCTCATCCTTTTCTCCACTGCCATTTGTCTCTTGGCATTAAGTAATAATGTTTTTAAAAAAAGAGTGGAGCAGTGACACATCTCTTTTCCCTCTGTTTTAGGAACTTAGGGAGTGTGTGATGAGGTACAAAAAGGCAGGTAGTTTTTGGCCAGAGAGACCGACTGGAGGCAAAAGAGAATTTCCCAAAGTGGATCAATAAAATATTACATTATTATTATTACATGCACCTGGGGGGTGTTTCATTTGCGCTTGTATTTAAAAGCAGACCTAATCTGATGAAAATGATGAAAAACATGAGAGAATAAACCTCTCAGGTGCCGATGGCTATGCTTTGCCAGAGCTAGAGTGATTTCTAGTATGCTCTTGACTGTCCTTGGTGTGTGTACAGTAATAACCAGATGTGGAGCCAATGAAGGATGCAACCAAGGTTACTATCAATAGTTCATGAAGTGATTTCTGCTGGTCATAGTCAAGACCATAGCAACACGTAAAAAGCTTAAGATTTAGGAATGTTAAAACATTAAAATGCTACAAATGCTAAACAACATAATAATTGTTGGAGATCACATAAGTTACATTTGATCATTTGTATTTATTGCTCACTTTTATGTACCTCCATGCTGTAATTTATTACATCTAGACACTTCACAGTAACAACCAATGTATACTGTCCACATCCTCATGCCTCCAAAGGTCCTGGCGACATAAATGTTGTAATCTGGCTTTGTTCGCGAGGATTGTTTGTTGTGCGTATGCAGGCACTTGTCTGTGTATGCAGACACTCTATGTAGGGTTTTGTTTATACCATTAGCTGTCTGCATCCACGTGTCAGTCATCCACATGTCAGTGCCACATAGATGTGTAAACTATGTTTTAAGCTGGAACAGAACCATCGTTGTGTCCGGTGTCCACAGCCCATATGGAAAGTTTTATGCTAGCCAGGTAGGCCTGTTGATTACGATTGATTACAAAACAGAAATAACACATATAGGTTATTCATTTTTTTCAACAAGAGAGAAGAAGGATCGTGACTTTAGCTATGTCATTACAGAAATGACAATATGGACAGTCAAGTGCTTTAGAACTGTGGATCAAAATATGACTATAAATGTCATATAAAAAGAATCTCATCTTCTAAATGAAAGGTACTTTAATGGCTTACAACTTGATCCTTTATCCTGGCTGTGGAGTAAAATTAAAATGGCTACAATAAAGGTAAGGACAAGGTAAAATCTCAATGTTATGCAACTCAAAAGGTATTTCTCCTCATAGGTAATGCTGCCGACTATATTTTTTATTTCATTCTGTACAGTAGCTAATGTGACAAGACCATTATTTTTGTTTGCTTCATTTTTTGTATACTGTATGAAGACCTTTTTCAAACCATCACAAATGTAGTAATGACATTTATAGTAAGTAGTATTGTAGTAATAGTTATATTACTAAGATATTTAGTTAAAACAAACAATTTACACCTACCGTATTTGCATTCAGAGACACAAAACAGGTCTGCACTGAGCACAGATACATACCATCTGATATTCATGATACCCTTTCCATCAAATTCAAATCTTACGTGAAGGCTGAAATGTGAAGTTCAAGAGCAGAATTCACATACAGGTAAGCGGGGAAGAAAATGTACTTCCTACCCATGTATGAGACTGATCTCCATACCAGTTAAATCACAATAGTCAGCAGCATATTGATTATGATTAGCAAGTGAAAAGATAAATAATGTAATTATCTGCTTTAATATTTTATTGGTCCATTCTAATAGGTTTATCAGAGACCTTTTTATGTAAATCTTTTGCACTTCCTTACCTAATTGCCCCACATACCATGATGTCTGTATGCACCTAACAATTTCTTTAAATGCTAGCTGAATGTAACAATAAGAATAACCAATGCACTTAATGACAGTGATGTTATTAAACGGACAAATTCTACGCCACAAAAAAGGCAATTGGGTATGGGAGGGTCAAAGAGTCCTATCCAGATTCATTACGTGTTCTTTTGAAATGGCACCCAGCCTGTTCCTACCCTTCATTAGTGATTAGCACACCTTTTAGCCTTTTACAATTGTTGCCATAATTCTTGGAAAATACCTTTTTAATGGTTCCCCTCCAACAAGGAGACGCTTTCTCTCTTGTCTCTCTTTCCTGAAGACATGTACTTAGCTGCTTAGTGATTCACAGTAAGGCTGAAATGTCACTGAGACATGCAGGACAGTTGGCCCTGAGAAGGGGTACCACAGCCAATTAAAAGCCTCCAGCTAACCATAAAAAGCAGAGTGACATAAACATAAAAGCCAAGGTGGTAGTGTAACCTCATTAACTTTGTCACACAATGTTTCAGTCCCATTTTCCCTGTTGCTTTAACAAGTGATAGTGAGAAACACTGCCTGAGATGAAGCCCTTTTACCATCATCCAGTAGTGAGAAGTCAAAAACAGAGCAAGGAAATGGTGGGCTTGGCTACTTTTTCCTGAACTCATCTTTGCAAACATGGATAATTGGCACAGATCATTTGTCAAATTACTTTCCTCATTTTATTTAATCCAACTTTCCCAGTTCCCAGTGCAGGGTCCATCTCCACAGACATCAGCCAACACTAGCAGATTCAAGGTTAATCCTGTTCTCTTGCTACAGAAAAGAGCCTCACATTCAAATGAGAACATTTAAAATCATTATGACTGGGAAAATAGAAAGGATTTGGACTCTAACGTAACATGAAGATGTCAGATTTCACAATTTTCCCTTTTTGCTACTCCACTCATGTGAAAAAAGTCAAAATCTACTCCTATCTTTTCCTTAATGAATACAATTTATTTATGAATTATAGCCACCGTGGTCTACATAGTCTATGCTAAACATTTATAACTCAAAAGTACATATGAGACATTTAGCTTTTTAACATTGTGTTTGCCTCTTCAAAAACAGACCCAACGGAACTTTGACCCAAAGAGAATCATCAAAATTTTGCAGTGACAGAGGTCATTTCATTTTCATAAACTACGCATTAATTACGCACAAATTAATGTATGTTGTGTAGTGCATCAACAGTAATTCCCTCCTGCTTTTTCAACAATCTTGTGTTGTATGCTTTGAATTGTGTCATAATTCTGCCTTTTTTTTAATTTCCCATCACAATATAATATTTTGCCCTGTACCAGTTTGTGTTGTTCATTTAAAGTATCTAACTGGCCCCCCGTGTGAATTCATTTTTTGTGTTTGTTGTTGTTGTTGTATTGTTTTTGTGTACATGTGTCTTTCTGTCCCCTCCACCAGACGTCCCCACAACCCTGCCTCCATCCACCACTCCCCCCCTACATCCCATCCCTCCAGATCCTACTGCACTATTAGGCACCCACGCCTCAGACCCCACAGTCACAGGCAACAGAGGTACAGTACCACCCCATGCATCTCCACAACCCCCTCAGCATGCTACTGTATATTGCTACTTCGATCTTCCCTCTGTCCTATTACTTCTCTTTTAGCTACTTCACCGCCTCAAGTGTCAGTGTTTCAGAGACACTGAGAACTGAAAAAAATATCTAGTGGCAAATGTGCTTTCTGGGACAAAAGTCTTCTGATGCTGCCATGCTGCCATGCCATTTTTATTTTTAGCCTTTTAGAGCAAACATAAGCTGTATGCCTTATTGATGGTCATTGACATACGTTTCCATTGGAATTAACTTTTGTGGTTTTACATCAAAGAAATTATTCAGATTTTTAAAGTTTCTAACACATTCCAAGCCATTGTATTCAAAAAGAGTCCAGCTGCTCAAATACTCCATCCACTGTCCCCTTGGCATTTCAAAGACTTCAGTACTTCTGCGCCCTGAAACCTCAAAGAAGCAAATGTCATGTCCAACTGAAAATGTCTGGCCACTGGAGATGTCTCATCATGACTCCTAATGCTGTGTTAAATCTTTAAGAATTTTGACTTGGAAAGCTCTTTTTCAGAGAGTTAGCATTGCTATTTGGTGTTCTTAGAGAATCTATTTCTGAGACGAATGAATGCTGTTGATATAATCCTTTATAGCATTACAATATAAAATATGAATAATGAGATGTCATCTACAATAAGGCTGAAGAAGAAATGTTGGGGAGGCATAAAATGCTGAGGTTTTCTTAAATTTCTGCAGAGGTTGACAACAGCTATGGTTATGGATTTAAACTTTAAAATCAATGGAATGCAATATAAATTAAGTTCCCATCTCTGTCCTGCAGCACGAATGACACCTAAAAGCAGAAAAAAACCCAATCAAAAGTTGTTTTCTGGATACCAAAACTCCTATAATAGTATTGATGTCACCATATCTGAGACATCATGTCAAAAAGATTTCTAAGCTCACACACCCCACAATACGGTTAGGTGTGGTGGGCTGGTTTGCTGCCTGCCAGTCAGGGGGCAGGCAAAGGTGGAGCTTTGTTGACCCTGTGCTACAAAAACTCAATCCGCTACAGCTACATAGAGTTGGAAGATTTAGTGGAAGCCTTACCCTTCCTTCTGTTGTAGGTCAGTGAGTTGGTCAAAAAGCCCTGCAGTGATAAGGTGCCAGATAGATGACATGGTGAAATTTCAGAATATTCTGTCTTGGCTAACATGCCTCTTTAATGGTGTGTGGAGGTTGGGGACGGCACCTATGTACTCACAGATGGAGGTTGGTGATTTTTTTTAAAAACAGGAGTGAAAGGGTCCTCCAATTACTGTGGTATTACACTGCTCATCCTTCCCATTAAAGCTTGTGCCAGTGTGCTGGAGATAACTCTCCAAACGATTGTCAAACCTCAGATTCAAGAGGAGTTTTGATGCCTGCTGGGAGCCTCTCTATGGATGCTCTCTGGCACATCCAAAAGTGAGGGGACCCTGGGGAATTGCATATCTTACCTGGATTGTGTGTGCTTCAGGATCGAGCAGTGTAGTTGCAAATCGCAACTCCCACACTTCACCCTCCCCTTCCAAGCACAAAGGAGAAATGCTCCTATCTAGAGTCAGTGTTTTGTTTGTCACTTCTGTAGAAACATGGCGGTTCAACATGGCGGACTCCATGGAAGGTGACATGCGTTGTCTGTACATGTAAAAGACTCATTTTAGGTTAACAAAAAATAACGATTCCTCTATTCAACTGATTATACACGAAAACATACCTATATGCCACTTCTGCCAATAGATCTTCCTAAATGTCACACACCGGAGCTTTAACCTTTACCTTATAATCCAAAGTGAACAGAGTTAGACTATCTTTGTTTATCCAACATTAGTTTTCTTAGCAGCTGGACAGGAAGGGGTGAAATATCCAAATTACTTTCACCCCATTTCACAAACCTTTGTGAGAATAAAGGTCCAGTTTGTAGGATTTAGTGGCATCTAGAGGTGAAGTTACCTCACCCATCAGTTCCAAACATGAAGGAGAACTTACAGTGGACATGAAACTGAAATATTTGTGATAGGCTCTATTTAGAGCCAGTGTTTGGTTTGTCTGTTCTGAGCTACAAACATGGCGATTAAAAATGGCGGGCTCTGTAGAAAACGACACACTCCCTCTCTAGATAAAAATGGCTCATTCGAATATATCAGGTCATTATAAACTAATGAAAACATATCTGTGAATATTATATTTCATTTCTGCAAATAGCTCCTATGTTATACACTGGACCATTGTTTGGTGGAATTTCTGTTTGTATAATGATTCTGTCTTTCCTGCTGCAGTTCTGCAACAATAATGCTGACATAGCATCGTTTTGGCTACAGTAGAGTGATATGCCAATCAAAGTTTTTGAGTGACATGTCAATTTAAAACTAATGTGCTGTGATAGGCTGTATGCAAATAGCTTGCTCACTCATATATTATCCCGATCATGCTGAATGTGACATCTTTTTTAAAAATGATTTTGTAAACTGATAATCTTTTATATATTTAGCCCATAAAATGTGTTTTTTGTGTATTTCCTAACATATTTTAATATGAAATACACAAGACACTGATCTTAATCCTAAATATACAGCATGTTTTCTCTGCAGTTCTTCTGCAGCTTTTTTCATTTTCATTTATTTGTCCATTCTGTCGCCATATAGATGTAGCAGAGTTTACCTTCTGTCTTGTCCCTGCTTTTTTGCTCTCTCTCTCCCCATTCCTCTCAACTTCATGGCACTCCACAGTTCCATTCACTTGGAATAATTTCCTCTCATCACTGCTGCTTTCTTTAAATTACCATCTTTAAAGTCCTTCAGGAGTTTTGACTCCCCCTCTACCTTTCCTCTGCTGTTTTGCTTTCTATCAAAGCTTTTGTTTCAATTTTCCCTCACCCGCTCCTTCTCTTCTACCCTCACATCTCTCTGTAGACCCTGTTAGATAACAGGCTTCCACACGTTGTTGGATATTCCTCATCAGCGTGTCTCAATTCTTCTCTGATGTCTGTTTGTGTAGTGCAGAGACACAAGAGAAGCTGAGACTCTCAGTGTATCTTCAGGGAATCTAAATATCAGACTCCTTCACTGCGTCCCCAGTCACAGGATACTACACTATCTGCTTTCATGTGTCTACTTGATTTATTACCAGGTCTTTTCACAGGCTCTGGATGAAAGCAAACAACTGTGGAGCTGTACCAGCCTTGCAACGTTTTGTCTTTTTAATAAAGTTGTCTTCCTGTGCAGACCAAATACACATTGTAGCACTATAGCCTGTATGCAGAATAGTGGCATATTATATACCTGATGAGCTCTTTCAGGTGCAACTTTCTCTGCTGTCTTTCTTACAATAGTCTTGCATCTTTCCTCTATTTCCCATCATCAGCAGTTTGGATTTTCTACCACAACTCAGGCTGAGGCTTTTTCCGACAAGAAACAGTTTGAGAAGAGATGTAAAAAAAAAAAAAGTGGTAAAAAGAATCTAAATAAAAAAGCAGTTGTATAGGAAAAATACCTAAAAGTATTCATTGTTTACTAAGTGTAAGTGTAGCCATTCCATCCAATATTTGTCCAGACTATAATGATGGTATGTACTCATGGTAATTTGAGTCTGGCACTGAGTTAAAAAACAAAATGGCCTGCACATACAGGATCTGTAAAATGTTGCAAAAGTCACATTGTGAGTGTCGCTTTGGATGTTTATAGTAATCCAGTTGCAGTGCAATCCCTGTTACTATTGCAATTTTAGATTACAGGATGATGAATACCCCATGTTAGTGTAGAAACAAAGTCAAATGAATGATTTCAGTGAAGTCATTCATTTGAATTTTTTGTTTTTGTTATTCTAATATTACATGTGTCTTCAGCTCCCCAGACCTTTAGTGTTACGACCTTCATTGTAAGTGAGCTCCTGTGATATTAGTGCTCTTTCAAAGTCAACAGTGAGGTCTTTTTGGCTTTGATTTTAATAAGCCCCGTTAGCTACCATGACAACCACGGCCAACAGGAAAGCAAGGTGGCTGAACTATCATTAGGCCCAGAGGCCAATTTTGATTTGAGCAACCTGGATGGTATATTAATTCACCATAAAATAACTTTCATATTAATTTATAAACATTTAAATTGAATAAAAAAAACATATTATAGTTTCATATAATATTGAAAATAGGTTTGTTTAGTCTCCTTCTAATCAAAATATGTAATAAACGGTTACTGAACTAAACCTTGGATACAAAATATACTTAGTATACTATGTGATACTGTCACATTACTTACATATATATGACCATTTTAGGGCTTTTGGGCAAAGAAAAGAATGATTTTAGAGAACATTGTGTTCCATGTGCAATATCTATGGGAGTATTGTGCTTTTCACTTGTTTTTCGATATCCTAAAAATTATATTCACCAACAAGATGATCTAGCACAATCCAAAACAGAAACAGTATTTGCATGATGGCCCGCACTTTTTCTGTCAATGAGTTCTTCTCCTCTCAGTAGTTAAAGGATTAAATATTCTGTGTTTACAAAAAATTGTGTAAGATATCACATGTGACATTATTTTACAGTATCATTTTACAATAATAGCTTTTTTAGATCTAATTTTGCTGACATAGTGAGTATTAGTGGCCAATGCAATAAAGTACTATTTAATGGAGCACTTATTCCTTGCAGAAATATTAATGAATAAATATTTCATCCTGTAGACTCAGTGGTTCTAATGGGAAAATGTAAATTTGACAGTACCCCAATGCCTTTAATTCTAACTGTTGTTGACCTTTGTGTATGAGGCTAGTGTACAGATATGCAAGATATTCCTCTGTTTTTCATCCATACTGTATAATGGCAGGACTGATGCAGGACTGCAGTCTGTGATTCGCTTTATTAATGAAGCGCTGGCAGGTATGCCCAACACACACACTGCTTCAATAGCCCAGCCAGCCTTAATGGCTATAATAACTCTTTCGCTAAGTATCAGAGGTCTATGA